GTCAAAGAAGCTGTGAAAGTGATAGGGAAAAAAGTTCTTTATATCAAATCTAAATTGTTAAAATTCAGCACTTGAGAGCCCACAGTGGCTATGTGTTACCACATTTAATTATTCTAAAATTGAAACCATTCAGCTTTCAAATCCGGGCTACCCTTTTAGTACACAAAATCTTAGGTTTATGGGAAGTATTCTAAGACCCCTCCTGAGATTCATTTTCCTGGAAAACATATTTAGCAACATAGCATATGCAACTCATGGAGAAAACCTAATGGAGATTATCAAAAATACAAAGAAGCATGCATGAACTATACAAAATGTGTTTTGAAATATTTTTCAAATGTGTTTTAGTTGGTAAAAACAGTCTGTACTTGTTTATAGCCATCATAAAAATTCATTTCCTTATTTTCTTCTCCTTTATATAACTTCTTTAAATTACCAGAAATGAGTTGCTTCATAAATTCTGTTTAAATTATTACAGACATCTTATATAAAAGTAAATTAATTTCTTTTAAAATCATCTTAGAACTTAAATTATCTTCTTCACCCCATATTCCCTTAATTGATACATTCCCTACCACTTGCAAACAGTAATGACAGAAAATTTTTTCTGTCATTAGTTATTGTCTTTATTTTCATTCCATCTTTTCTTTACCAGGAAAGGAAACTCCACAAATATTTTTTATTTCTGTCTCTAACAGAGATATTCTAGATACAGATGGATCTACAACTTTTTTTGTGTGTTTTTGAGACAGGGTCTCACTATGCAGTTCAGGCTGACCTTGAGCTCACTTTGTAGCCTAGGCTGGCCTCGAACTCACAACAATCCTCCTGCCTCTGCCTCCCGAGTGTTGAGATTACAAGCGTGCATTATCACACCCAGCTCAGAAAGATCTAAAACCTAACCAGTGAGCATTCATTTACAACATCCACACCAATCATTTCAGTTGACACAAAATTAAGCTACAGACATTCAATAGGAAACTGAACAGAAGCCAAGAATCCTTTGAGTCAAGAAGCAAATTTCTTTTCTGAATCAGCTAAGCAAATTGTAGACACAGTGCCCATTTGTTCCTACATAATTCTGTATGTTCCCTTTGAAGGAAAGCATTGTTTTAGGTAAGTACAAAATCAGGAAATTTACACTTATCCAACACTACTATTGAACTTACATATAAGTTAGAGACCTAATTTATATTTTCACCATTGTTCCAATGTTGCTCATTATAGCAATAAATGAGTGTATGAATAAATAAATTCAAGGTTTCAGATTCATTCAGTTGTCATATCTCTTTAGCACTTCTTTTATCTGGAGTAGCTCTTGAGCCTGCCATGACACTGACATTTTGTTCAGTCCAATCTTTGCACAGCATGTTCTCTTCAGCTTGCCTGATGTTTCCTCAGGAGCATACTCAGGGTGTGAAATGGAGAACGGGAGCAGGGAGAGGCATGCCCTTGCCAGTGTTGTGTCAGAATCATATTTTGCCTGGTAGAATGGTTGATACATTGTATCAGTCTGAGAGGTTTAGAAGCTTAACAAAGAGACTCAGCAGTTCTACATCCTACGGTGTACAGGATATGCCCCAGGGTGGCTTTTTACTCCCAAGGATATTGGAATGATTGATTCACTGTGTCAACTTGAGAAGTTTAGAAGCTTGAGTAAGTGACTCAGCAGTTCTACATCCTAGGGTGTAGAAGACCCACCCTAGGACAGGTAGCCTGCTTACAATATAAGAAGGAAAAGAGGCTTGTTCCCCCTGCCTTTTTGCTCTTGTTGCTTTTGCTGTCTTCTGTCACCTTGAACTACATTGCCCCTCACCAAGCTACCCTGCCTTGCAGTTGGGTATTTTGTCACTGCAATGACAGAAAAGAACCAAGACATTTGTGCAACACACACACACGCACGCACACACACTACAGAAACCATGGGAATTGCAGAGAGGTGCTATTTACAGAGTATGAGTTTCACTAAAGGAACCCAACTATGTGTATGGAGACAGTGAATCTCTAGATTTCTACCACTTAGAAATTTCAAAGTCATTGAAAACACTATTTGACTGAAGAGATAAAAACAAAAGTTGCAGATATCAATGATATAACATTTTACAAACCACATTAAAATACAGGCTGGTCAAAAAATTATAACTATAAATAAAAATAGTAATAAGAAAAATCATTAAGCCTGTATTTCAAGAAATGAGAAACTGATTTGAAAGTGAGAAGAAACTGATATTATTTATAATTATAATTTAAACCTAATTATACATATTTTAATGGATGAAGTTAACAAGAGACCTTAGGCACTAAGCAAAAAGCAATAATAATTAGATAATTTATTTATCATTTACTGTTTTAGCAGGAAAAATAATGTTTTGGAACACAGTATGTAAAAAGAATGAGAAAATACTGGGCTCCACAGTATGGGAATAAATTAGAGAAGCTGATAGGATGGTCATTTATCTAAGAACCTATTGATTACCAAAAGTTAGCCCAGAGGGTATTGAAGAGCAAATACCACATGAGGAAAAAGAATAGGTAAAATACAATCTTCGTGCCACTAAGCACCTATCTGTGGATCTCAAAGTGTACTGTGGACTAACACGACACCAGAAGTACTAGAATTTATGACAAGCCTGAGGGGAAAAGAACTGCTTCCAAACAATCTTTATGAAGCAAATTAACACAAACAGCTCCAACACTGGTCCAGTGTCACACAAGTATTAATGTAAACCTAGGGAATAAAACTGCCAGCACAGATGAAACAGGAACATATAAAAAAGAACAATGCAGCCAACCATGCTCAGTTTTACTACAGCAACACAGGAAAATTCAATATTAGAAAATCTAATACGATGGTATCTCCAAGAGATATCTGCACCCTTGCATACATGCAGCATGACTCCCAATAGTTAGAACGTCACAAACACAAAATGTCCACTAATGGATGAAATGATAAAGAAGACATGTCATATACACAATATATATGGAAGATTGTTCATTCTCCTCACAGAGCACATTTGATCATTTGTGATGATATATAATAGACCCAGAGACCATTATGCCAAGTGGAAAGAGCCAGATACCACAAGGCAAGTATTGCATGCTCTCACCCGTATATCTGTTCTAAAGCTGTCAGACTCATGGAATGCAAGGAAAGCGTGTTTGCCCGGGCCTGTGGGAGTGGGAAGTGGAGAGATGATGGTGGAGTGGTACAAAGTTATAGTTAAACAAGATAAAGTTCAAAGATCTACCGTACTACATAAGGACTTTCACTAACAATATTGTATGTATGCTGAACATATGGTAAAACCATAGATCATGTGTTAAGTATTCCAACCACAGAACAGCATTAATGCTAATGATACCAACAAAGGTAGCAAGAGGAAGCCTTAGAAGGTGATGGGTATGTTTTTGTTTGTTTGTTTGTTTGTTTGTTTTTTCTGGTACCGGGAACTGAACTCACGACCTTGCACTTGCCAGGCAGATGCTGTGCCGCTGAGCTAAACCCCCAGCCCCCGGTGATGGGTATGTTCATGCCCTTGACAGTGACTTCATGAGTGTTTACTTGTTTCCTGATGCACTGAGTTGTGTATAAGTCTATGCAACTTTCCATATGTCAACCTTGCCTCAAAGAAATGGGTTCAAAAAATGATGAGGCTACAGTAAAATTGTTTGATACGAAACATAAAGAGATAAGAAGAGCAATACAACAGATATGAAAGCCCAGAAATAGGTCCAAATATATAGGAAGGTTTATTATGAGCATACTAATACTACAGCCATAGGACATAAATGAATCATGCAAACATTATTAAAGTAATGACTACATATTTTGAGGGTAGTAAAAGTAGAAGTTTAATGTATACAACATAAACATAGATTCAAAATGACTCAATGATTTGGTTTAAAAATAAACTGTAAAGACAATAAAATTAAAAATGCAGCTTTCTTTTCAAACATGTAGAATGAATGCCTTTATAAATATGACACAAAACACGAAGTATATTTGCTACATTAAAATCAAAGTGTTATTCTGCATGACAAAAAAAGTGAAACAAAATAGTATTAGGAAAGAAATACTTGTAATTCTTCTAAAGAAGAGTACATAACTAAAATATCCTTTTAAAAGCAAAGTACTTTTTAAGAGGGCAACACACATACCACATAATGCACAAAGAATAAAACAATAGTGGATCTCAGAAACATGTCAAATACTCAAACTCATTAAGATAAGAAAAGGACAAACAAGACCAAAATGTACTGTTTTTCAGATATAATGACATTTGATGCCCATGTCATGACAAAAGTGTCTGACATTTGTAGAAATAGTCACTAGATTTGCACAGTGCAATATAAGCTGGTAGCGCCCCTCCCAGGAGGGCAGGGCCAGTCAGTGTTACAGTGACTACAGTCACCCCAGAAGCAGTGCTTTCTTTCCAAAACACCTTCACACCCTGCAGACATTGTTATCAAAAATATTTTTCCTAACATTTCCTCTATTGGTACAAGATTGATAACTTTATAAACACCCACCAAGCAGGTGGTGAGTCTGAGTCAACACATTCAGGGATGCAGTTGCTTCGTAAAACATGACTGCCAATGAAGGGTGAGAGACTTCTCTTTCTGTAGTGATCTAGAGGGGTCACCTGGAAATACAAAGTCAAAAAAGGAAAGTGCTAAGTAATATAAGTGATACACTCTCATTTGTGGTGAGGATGGAATAAAGAATGTAAGGATTAGGGTATTTTCAAAGCTCAGTAGGAAGCTTCTTCTAGAAGAAACACAATAGCTGGTAGCGGTGTTTATTTCCA